AATGGTTTCTTGGTGTCACAGGTGCATAGTGGTGGCCACGCCCCATCAAAGACCTTGACTTGAGCGAATATGAGCGGCACTGTCAGAAAGGGTGTGTGTGTCCCGTGATTCAACAGCACATTCTGGACCCATTGCCAGATTTAGTCAAAACGCACACTTTATAGTGAGCCACCCAGCTCATTCGCAAGATATCTCTTGCCCTGTCTGTACAGAATGTAATAAATGCTCTGTTAAGTTTGCCATCCTACTCCTGAGTGCACAGGCGTTTTCTTTTTCTGTCTCTCTACACCCCTTTTCTTGCCCCTATTTCCCCACCCCCAGTGCTGGGCAGCAAACTGGATGCCAAGATATGGTGATCCCCCAGCCTTTCTTTCTCTCTCTCGCCATCTTACTGCCGTGGCATCTTCATCCCGGATATCCGATGTCTTAAAAGGCCGGTACAAACAGATAAGTTAAAGAATAAAACAGACGGGGAATATTTTCTGCAGCGTGTTCAGACGCTGCATATAAGTGGTCATCTTTGAAAATTATCAACTTTAACACCACGGACAGGTGATGATATACCCTGAGTAGGTTCGAGCATGTATTATGCCTCGATGCTTTTAATCTTCATTAAACTTCTCCCTTTCAATTTCATCCTTCGGGGCTTTGTGTAGTTCATCTAACGCGCTGCATTCGTGCTGCACTTCTACCACTTCATTTCTTCTGTATATACGCCCTGTGTAGGGCACGATTATAGGCTGCCATTTTGAACTGATAATGATGCCGTTTTGCATCCATATGAATACTCGAATAGTGCTACGGTGAACTCGCATGCATCAACACGCTGGGCCAGTACATTCAACGTCGTATGACCATACTCATTGCTAATTACGACATAGAAAGCCAGCAAAAATTGATTTTAAGCCAAAGATGGCAGTGTCTATGCTTTACTCTAACTGTTAAATTTATTTTTTGTCAATTTGTCTAATAGGTCATTTCGTGCCGCTGCCGCCGAACTTGTGCCGCTGTTCATAGTGGTACTCTCGGTCTCTGAAGCTGGATGAAGATAACTAAGAGGCCTGGTTTTTACTGGCTACATAAAATATGAAACGAAGCTATAAACCAAGATGAAAAAAAGACAAACCTGTGAAAAGTCAGTACTGGCGCATAAATGGTGCGCCGATTGCGCCGATGAAAAACGTCGGCGGAGGCGGCGCGCCGATCAGTTCGCGTCGGTGGCGGCGGTGCTACAGTGTACTAGAAGAGGGCAGTGGGCTTATTCCCCGGCGGAGGGTATGCGGTGGGGTGGCTCCACAAACGTCGCCTGTGTGTTTCTCTCTTCGCCCAGGCGGCGGAAAGTGCTGGCCAGCTCTTACGCAGCAGCAGTTATCGAGCGATGTGGTATTGCTGTGGCCGTTGTAGCGCCGAGTTTTTGCCGTCGGCTGTGAGCCGTACACACCACTCAAGAAATTGGTATGTGCTTTAGTGCCTAAGCCATGCCGCAATATCGGCAAAACCACTGCTACACGCCTGGGTGCCAAGCAGGCTATGTGTTCGAGAAGGGTGGGCCGAAGCTGTCGTTGTTTGGCGTCCCGAAGGATGAGAACAGGCGTAAACAATGGGAGAAGAACCTGCGCAGAGCGGACAAGCCCCTGGAAGACACCAGCGCAGTGTGCCAGCTCCACTTCGAGCTGCGTTATGTGCTCACAGACTACACTCTAAAAAAAGAGCGAGTAAAAAGGGTGTCTTCTTGTCCCACAACAATAATCGTCATTTATATTGTGTTTCATCCTTGCGCTATCGCCCGGCGCCCGGTACATTCCGGTCACGATCGGCATGCCCATTATCAGGCTTACATTGCATTCTCGATAGGAAAGTGGCCAGCACCGAGTTTTCAAGAAAGAAAGCGCATGCAAGCCTTATGACGATTATTGCTGTGGGACAAAAAGACACCCTTTTTACTCGATATTTTTTTTAGAGTGTATGTGCTTATTATTGAGGGAAAAGAAGTGCGGATACCTCGTGGGAGACCCATTCTCCGCGCTCGTTTATTCAGACATAAATACACAATTCACTCGTTTATTTGAGACATAGATACACAATGTGAATTATGTCCTGACGAGGCCTTCACCTCAGACAACGCCGTGCCCCAGACTAACCAATCTCCCTGCCAGCCAGCTTATAGAATGTTTTTAGTAAACATTCCTTAAAATGAAAATGAAGGAGTTTGCTATTTTTTCCTGACGGCATGACGGTGGCTGTAATTCGAGAGGCCATGTCAAGAAGAATTCAAGCAATATTGTTTTATTCTATTTTTTCAACAAGGTGAGCCAGTTGATATCATTGATGACATCACGGTATGCTGCTGAAACTTTCCGGCCAGGCTCTTTGAAAGAAGAAACCCTGAAGGACTTCCTGTCGTACCTTGATCAGTGGGAAAGGCATGACAAAGAAACTGGTGGGTTTTCAAGTGACTCCACTGCAGCCGGCTTGCGTTGATGATTGATTGATTTGTGAGGTTTAACGTCCCAAAACCACCATATGATTATGAGAGACGCCGTAGTGGAAGGCTCCGGAAATTTCGACCATTTGGGGTTCTTTAACGTTCACTTAGATTGAAGTACACGGCTCGTCACTGTATGAAACCGTATATTTTGTGGGGTACACCATCCTTTTGGGCTCGGCGAGGTGTTATAATGGGGAAAATACGATGTGGCCTGAACAAATGTAGTGTTTGTCAAAATGTGCAAAGAATTCAAGCTCCTCCGATCCCAAGAAAAAAATCATTAACTGCGTCGCACTAGAAAAAAGCAAGCATATTTGCATAAGCTACCATCACACTGACTTTCGACAAATGTATCGCAAAAGAAAAAAAAAGGAAATAACGGTGAACCGAGAACAACATACACTCTCAGTACAATCAAAGGGAAGTCAATACAAGCAATTCTGTTATAAATATCGAAGAAACACGCGTCGCGACTTGTACGAGCGGCCAGCGGCGAGCAGCTTCTGCAGGCGAACTCTACGAGCGAAAACTCTCGGTGGCGGCGCGCCGACCAGTCAGCACACACCTCTAGGTAGTAACACATTTGCCTAGTCTTCGTACTTTCTGGCGGCGAATCATACTTGCGGCTTCGTTTGTTGCTGTGTTTCGGTTTTGTTTTGAAAGAAAGATTGAACCCTTTTGAACTTCGTGACCCGATTTGGAAAGTAAGTGTGCAAAATAAAATGGTGAAGCTCAACCGCTGAACATTTGCTAATACTTGTTTTGTAAGAAAACAGCCCCAAGCCACACGAACACTAACGGAGCCAAAACCAGGCCAGAAGTACGAATATTAGACAAATGTGTGTACTACCAACGCCTCCTAGATTTCCCATGTCTGCCGGATTATTGGCAGTCACTAGGAAAGCGGCGTTCGTCGGAACTACAGTAGTGGCGCCACTAAGGTAGGGTTGTCTTTAAGCATTTTTTTTTACGTTTTTGAAGCTTATATGCTACAAAAATAACGTTAAAAGTTTTAAAAAGGCGTAAACGTAATTTTGATTAACACTACGTAAGTGACGCCGTCATTCAGAAACAACTTTTTTTATACAAGGCATCTTCTGAAATTAGTAGCAAACGCCAAAATTGCTAATCTCAAAGGCCGAGTACAAAATTCTTACTCCTACGTAAGCAGCGCTGCCATAGATGACCGGCGTTTCACGCTCATCCGGCAGGCACAAGAAATCTAGGAGGCGCTGGTACTACCATGGTCCCTCAATACTTTTCACTGGTCATGAAACTCCCGCGAAAGTTTCATATAGAGACAAAAGTGGCAAACAGAGGCGCCACCGTATACAAGAGGGCATTGATCTGCCGCGCTTGGTAGGGCAGGTGCGCGTTCGCAGAAGCGTTTGCCGTCAAATACACTTCTTCAGATACTTTCCTTCTCCGTGTTCTCGCTAACAAATCATAGCAGTGATTAGTATTGTCAATAATGTACATGATGCGCGTTGTCAAATTGCCCAAGTCATTGATTGCTGGCAATGTTTTGACTGAGAGTATCTGTCAAGTGACGGATGTGTTCGTGACATTTTTTACATTTCTCGATTTCTGTATAGTCGCTTTCGGGCTTAAACCAAACACTTTCTTTTCTTTGTCCACTTAGATATCTCTTTCAATTTTTTTCATTGATTTGTGGGGTTTAACGTCCCAAAACCACGCTATGATTATGAGAGACGCCGTAGTGGAGGGCTCCGGAAATTTCGACCACCTGAGGTTCTTTAACGTGCACCCAAATTTCAATTTTTTTTATGTGCGAAATATTTCTGCCTAACGGAGATAAATTGTGTGCCACTTACCTAGCAGTGGGTAGCATTTTGAACTTTGCAACAACGCTGCGACTTGCAAGGAAATGTGGGCGAAATTCTCGGCATATTTGTTTGCTGCAATTACTGGCAATTATCAAGAATTCCAAACTGCCATGAATGAGCACAGGTACATAGAGTTTATTTAAATCTGCGTGGATGAAACTGTGGATGAAAAGTTGGGAGATAGAGTGAATGACACAAAAAAAGATCACTGAAAAAAAAATTTATGCCCCTGGTTTTCTCCCTCCTCTGGCCGGACAGGATGGGCGATCACCAGCACGAAACAGTTTGTTTTGTTCGCGCGTAAAAAAGTGCAGACGGCACTTAATAAAAAAGTGCACAACTTCTGCCGTGGTGCTCACAAAATGTGTTCCACAGCCAACACTGGCCGAGGAAGTGCGGTCGTCCAGCAAGATGTTTTCAACAATGTTCATGTAGACATTGGCACAGGCTATATTGTCTATGGTGTGCATTTCAACATGTTCCTCCACAATTTGCAAGAGGCGCAATAGTTACTCCGATGGCACTTGCAAAAATCCTCTCGTCTTAATTGCAGTCAATGCAGTTGGCTCTCGGGAGTTGCTTCTAAGTGTTTGGAGGCAGTCCTTGCAGCTTATTTTCGCAAACGTCTTATATTTTCGCAAATATCATGAAAAAAAAACGCCAAGGTATCAATCTGAAACGTAAATATTTTTTCATACCACAATGGCAAGAGTGAGAAATTTGAAAAGTGAAAAAGCAGAATAGAAGCTCGTTGTATATCATACGACCAGACGTGCATGTCATTAGCATCAAAGGGCTAGACAACATTCAGCACATTTCCATACGATGGAGAGACACCCTACGAGCAGCGTTGGTGTGCTATTAAAATGTTTACCTGATTAACAGTAGGTTCTTTATGTTGAAAGAGATCCTGCATATTTAAAAGGAGACGTGGACCATCCCCTTCAACTGAGGCTCGCTGTGGCGGACGGATCAAGTTGTTCACCGAGAGCAACCGGTAAATGAACAAAAATCGCTGAACCGTAGGCTGTCCCCCTGCTCCAGCAACATGCCTTGCTATGCCAAAAAACCTCTGAAAGAGAGAAAAGTGCAAAGAAAATGTTTTCAACTAGCGAAAACGTTTAAATTTACCTCGAGGTGGTCTTGTCCAAAGTTTCCAACTAAAACGTAGCAAAAGCCACATTTCAGCAGCTTTTCAACAAGCGTCACTGTGCTGTGCAAAGTCATTCTCAGAGCATTGCATGTTGGCTTGCTCAGAAAGAAAAGTTGCTTTTGCTTTGGTAAACTCTGGTTGTGAGTGTGCCACCTGTCAAGCCACTCGATGATCTCCTTCAGTGTCTGAAAAACAATCTGATTTTATTGGAACTTCAAAGGAAGCAACCATAGCTTTGAAATATTAGGGCTTACAGCAATGTGTTCTGCTTCATTATACTGCAGATCTTGTGGCCTCTTGGAATTTAAGCAGTTGAATAGAATATTCGTTCGTCTCGCAAAATCCGAGGTTGCTTTGGAGCCACGAAGTTTCACAAATTCTTCTCTACTGCGATAGAAGTCTATTGCTGAAGCGGTGCTTTCACTGAAGAGCTGAAGGATTTTAGAGAAGTTATATGGCAGAGTGCTGTATTTTCATGAAGGAACAGCACTTTTGATACACACTAATAATTAATGACACATACTAGAGCAGACTTGCCTGGACAGCAAGTTTCACACTCAGTTTTTGGAAAGCGTAAGCTATTGCACAGCCCGAAGTCCAGCTTGCTGCTCCTCGTAGTCTAGCAGAGCTTCAAAGTGGAAATGCTGTACTTCTTTGTCACCAGGCAACTGTTACATTAAGAAAAAGCCTGTGAGACAAAACAGCCAGAGCACTGCGATGACTTATCTTAAACTGTGTTTTACCCACCAGGAATTTTCCAGCCTTCAGAAGGTTATTCCTGATGCACTTGAAGATGTGAGGTGGGTCAATTATGACCTGAATGACTTCGGAGGAGTCACATGGATGCTCAAATGACGTTGATACTCTGGCGAAATCACCGCTGACACCTAAAAGCAAGACATTTCTATTATTAAGATCACATACTAGATAACATGAGGATAAATAATGTCTACAAATATTTACCCAAAGAGTTCAATGCTGATCGGTTCGAAGTAGAGTTATCGCAAGTGACTGCATCCACAACGACACCGGAATTCGACAGGAGTACAAGCAATGCAGAAGCAGTTTAGCAATAGCAGAGCCTGGTGCAGCCCCTGACGTGCAAAACGCTCTGACAGTCTGCGACCAGCCACCGAGGAATGGTCGGAAAGGGAACACTAGCACATGGTCACCATCTTTCACTTGGTCAGTAGGCTTCGTGCGCTCCGCTAAGTCGACCTTTCCAAGCAGTGTCATATCCGATTTCTTTACATGAAGGCTCCTTCTCACGCCCATCTCGTCAAACATCAGGACCCCTAAAGAAAAAAAATATTTCAGCTGTTTACCTAAAGTCCAGAAAAATCAAATGCAAAAAAATAAAAATTGATACCTCGGTGCTCTCTCTCTGGAATATTTCTCACTTTGTCTTTGAGGATGGCAAATAAATTTTCATCAAATCCAAAGCCGGCCTTCAGATTTTTTAGGTAGGAGTAGAGTGTGCGAGGGTGTGGTAGAGGCAGAAAATTATTCTCGTGACGAAATGTATAAACTGCCGTCAATTTGATTTTCAGAAGTAAACAGTCGTAAAGTCATTCTTTTTTATACCTGCAATAAGTAAAATGCAGATTTTTGTGTTCACGGTTCAGCGACAGCACCAGCAAACAGCACTATCAAAGTAAAACAAAATATTGCACTTTGGTCCACGGCATCACTTTTCAGTTTCTATCATTATCTAGAAAGAAAATGCGCACACTCATAAAACCGCACTTCACATAAAACCCCAAACACACTTCACAAACGGGATCTTACCGTGCTGCTTTCGTAGACTTCATATTTGCCTTCATGATGCACTGGTCTATAATGAGCTTTTCGCAGTCTGACAGCTTGTGAATATCTCTGTACATTCTACCTTTTTTAATCGCGTGCGCCTCCGCTTTTGCGAGTTTCCGCTGGCATGATTGAAGCTGTTGCTTTACGCTGCGAAGTTGCGCCTTCAATCTCTGCAGCTCCGATGCTGAACAAACTGGGACCTCTGTTTGACACTCTGCATCAGCGAAGCCTGGGCGATTCTCAGTTCTTACAACATCTGCAAAGACTGACAAAGAGCAAATTTCATAAAGGAAGGAGCCAATTTTGTTAACGTATAGAGAGCGAAATTTGTTAGCGTAGTGAGCGGTTAGGATACTTGCAAGCTTTGTGCCAGACTTACCGTCGATTTCTTCGTCGGCTGCAGTGGAGACATCCGTATTCGCAACTGTCGCATCACAGTCTGGAGAAAGCTCTCGCGGCCTTTTTACAGGTGGGCGCTTTGTTAGTCCACGCGAACGCTGTTTTGGTTTGGAGAGATAAGCAGGCAAACCTTCGAAAATTCTTAGCGCGGCGCCTTCCACCAGTCTTGGCCGATCTCGAGGCAGTGAAAGGATGTTCCCATTCACTGTACACACGTCCACACGTACGATGTCACTTGCATCGAAATGTTTTTCGCACACGCGAACATACTTCGCGTCGAACAAAAATCCGACAGTCTCCTGTCGCGGGATTGCATGTTTCCACCTGTCGCGTTGTTCTGCGTCGGCTGGTAAACAGAACAGGGAGACTTTTTCGACGTTGCTCTTGTATCCTGAGCGACAGCCCGGCACACAGCAGGTGTTGGGCACCACGGTCACGACGAGGTGACCGCGAAAAAAGAAAAAAAAAAGGTGCAAGCAGCACAAACAACACCACTCCGCGCTCACACTCGGCTAATGGCGGCCAGCAGCAGGCGGCTTCCTCGTCCCCCTTGTAGCTACGCCAGTGCTGCGGCGCGAAAAGTGCGGGCGGTATATGAAGCTCTCCCATTGAGTTTCGCGGAAGTTTCATGACCAGAAAAGTATTGAGGGACCGTGGTACTGCCCATCATTTCCATGCTCGCTGAAGCGCCGTGCGTCGCAGCTCTCATAGACACTAGCGCCAGAGTTCCCTCTAGTATATATTAGGAAACTCTATGGAGCCATCCGTTCAGCTCTTGCTGATCCACCAGGGCTGGGCTAGAGTTACTGTATATGCTACCTTTAGAAAGCATATACACTAACTCTAGGCTTGGCTAGACAGCAGCACCTCCCATTCCTTCCACGTGCAGTGTTCTTCGTCAAGCCCTCGTCGTGCAAGCTGAAGTGCCGGCGGCGGCCAAGGAGGATTAAAAAAATAGGAGTGGAAATGATTGCACAGAAGTGAAGCCGTTCCTCTGGCAAGAAGGCGGCTGTGGCGGCCATCTTACTAGAAGCATAATAAAGTATCGCTGTTCAGTGATTAAAAACGAAGTGTTTATCTCGCACGCCCAACGAGTTTAATGTGGGAACTTTTTCGGGCCACATAGTGCTCCAAGTGCGTCTTAAAGTTACTAGTTTTCCACAGTGAGCCTCTAATTGGAGGCGAAGTTCTTTGAAGATTCAGCCATCCATACTTATTTCTGTGTGTCCTTTCGTCAGAAACAACTATCCTTTAATATAGAACTAACGTAGCATTTACATAACGTATCAAAGCCACTTGATCTTTAAGTGGGCACTATCAGAAAAGAGCATGTTTCCGCCATCTTGGCAGTGGCAATAGGTGGCTTCACTTCTTCTAACAAGCCATCGCAGGAACTTCCACTCCAGCAATTTTTCTTTAATCCTCCTTGGCGGCGGCACACATTTGATGTGTTGAGTGGTGCTTCGATGTGATGCGAAACGTTCTGTCCAGCCCGACGCTCCTTGTTCCCATAGAGTTTCTCAAAATTAACTAGAGGGCACTCTGACGATGCGATTGTTCAGCGACCATGGGAATGATGAGTAGTACACACATTTGCCTAGTCTTCGTACTTGCGGGCGGCGAATCGTACTTGCGGCTTTGGTTATGACTGGTTACGGTTTTGTTTTGAAAGAAAGAACGAACCCTTTTGAACTTAGAGACATGATTCGAAATAGTAAGATTAAAAAAATAAGGCTGTGAAGCGCAAACGGTGAACATTTGCTAATTTATGTTTTCGTGAAAAAACAACTCCAAGCCACAGAAACACACACGGAGCCAGAGCAGGACAGAAGTACGAAAATTAGACAAATGTATTTCCTTCCTCCGTGGACAAATGTGTGTACTACCCATCATTCCCACACTTGCTGAAGCACCGTGTGTTGCAACTCCCATAGACACTAGACCCAGAGTTCCCTCTAGTAAGTATTGTGGGAAACTCTATGCTTGTTCCCTCCCGCCGAATGTGGCTTCGTCAAACACGTGATTATCCCGCGACGGTCAAAATGGGTTGCGGTGTGGAGATGTGGTGTGGCGAACGCATGTGTTGTGCGTCGCTGTGATGTGAAACATTCTATCTAGTTCGCTGCTCCCTGTTTCCTCCCATTGAAAGACCACCACTAATCATACCGGCGAAGAGCTAATGAATCGGCGCAGCGCCGACAAACACGTGCCTTTCCCGACGTCGACAAAAGGTAGCGCTACCTGTTGGGTTGGCGCAGGCGGAGTGTGGCGGTGAAATACAAAAGTGAAACCACCTTTACAAGGCGTACATGAAGACTAAAATGTATTTATTCGAAGTCTGGCAGTTTGGGCTATTTGATATGACATGATAGTTAAAGTGAGAATAGAACATCCTTGTTGTCCTTTTGTCGACGTTCTGTTCTCGCGCTATAACAATCATAATGTATTTATTTGTTCGTCTCGAATAATTCGAAATTTTTATAAATTAAATTTGATTCAAAGCATAATTCGAATTCTGGATTATTCGTTCAAATATTTGAAGCATGCGAATATTCGCACAAGACCAATTTACGGCCATAGCATAGCCCTAAAGACAGCTTTGACTCAATTCTAAAGTGGGATGCAGTGAAGCATTCAAAAATACAAAGGGGTTATTTTAACACAACAGTGGATCTCCATGTTGAAACAAAGCAGCTTCGCCGCAATGCGACAGTACAGTGGGGTGAAGTCTATACATATAAGTATAAAAAAAAAGATTGTGAAGTGGTTACTGCCAATTGGATGTTGTCTGTACAGTAAAAGCTCGTTAATTCAAATTCTACGGGAACGCTGAGCAATTTCGAATTAAACAAAATTCGAAATAATGAAAGTGAGCAAAAATGGGTGGATTTCGGGGGTGGGGGCACGAAAAATATTTTATTGGCCAAAAAAGTCGGTGATGAGCATCTGCTTCTTTTCTCTGAATGCCACAGCTGCGGCTCCCTGTTCCAGCGCGCGGACGCGGCGCAGGGAATCCTCTTCACCCTCTTCAAAGCTGAAGAAGAGACGCGCCACATTAAGTGCCTCCATCACCGCAGAAGCTGACGGGCGCACAGGCGCTTCGTCATTTTCGTCTTCCTCACCTTCTGGCTCTTCAGCATCAGGCTGCGTGCGCACTGGCTACTTGAGCGATAATGTCCTCATCAAACAGGGCACCACACACCGATGCACTGGTGTCAACTTCAACATAATCGGCAAAACGTACGCCCCGAAGAGTGTTGCGCAATGCCACTGGCATGAGCTCCTCAGCCCCATCCACGTCGACGTCACAACTATCCTGCGCACTTCCAGCTGCAAATCCACTGTGGCGGAAACAGTTTGCGATTGTGGTCGCGGTCACCTGTTCCCATGCGCGCACCAACATGGCAGTGAGCAGCGAAATGCCGAAGTCCTTCCTGTCGCCCGCGCACAAAATCATTCGTGAACGAACAACGTGCTCGAGGAACAAAGCGACGCTGCCGGGAGCGGCCTAGGACTGCTAGGACTACTCCGCCGACTCCTCAGCGTCCCGTGGGTCCCGCGCACAAGAGGCGCCAGGCGCTGAGATAGCGGAAGGGCTACAAAAAAAAAAAAATTGCTCCCTGGATTTTGGAGGCCATACTTTGCTCGCCCTTTGCTTGGAGGCCACTTGAAGCTTGAAAAAACTGGTCGTGCCACCTATCGTTCGACCGTAAAAGCTTCCACTAGTGTTTGACGATGATGACGCTCGGCGGCGCGCGCTTCGAATTATCTGTACAGGCAGCAATTACTGTTCGAATTAACGAATCGTTTTACACATGGTCTCCTATGCACTGCGGACCGGACTGCGGCGACCATTTCGAATTATCTAAAATTTATAATTAACGAGGTGTGAATTAACGAGCTTTCACTGTATTTGTCTTTGGGAAGTTCAAGTACTTCGAATAGTAGAAATTTCAGTGCAAATTGAATCGAATAGAAACACTAATTGAAAAATATTCGAAAGTTTGAATATTCGCACACATTTAGTTTACAGACAAAGTAAAGACATAGATTGCGTGAGGTCTTCTGGTTTTTCATACATTACATTACAGAAACACTTGACTTGCAAAATTGTACATGTTACTGATGAATTGCACAGTTGAAAAGCACTGAAAGCTTTAAAGTAGACGGCTGTTAATTAAATGCCAATATGTTCTCATGGCAGGTTCAAGAGTGGAAACAAAGCACCCCAGGTGGTCAAAATTTCCGGAGCCCTCCCCTACGGCGTCTCTCATAATCAAAATGGTGGTTTTGGGACGTTAAACCCCACATATCAAAATCAAGAGTGGAAACAGAGGCATGTGTGCAGTGTTTACACAAGGTGTTGCTTTGTCAGAGGGTGAAAGAATGCAGTTTGGCAATGTGCGTACAGAAAGTGTTCTTTGTCATTACCTGTAAATAATGAATTAATAAAATGTAAAATCTCAACCACAGCACATGAGCTTCAATTATATGTTCGAAACATGCGAGCACAGTAGATGGAAATCTCTTACTTGCTCCCTTGTTCGCTTGCCTTTTTGTATCTTGTGAAGACGAGTGTGAATATTTATGGCTCAAATGGCAGATTACAATCCTAACGCGGGTGATGGTTATTATGATTGTAAATCTTCACATTCCAATTACTATGAAATGTGTCAAGTTCTTCTATACCACCTATTATGTAATGACAAGTACGTATGTGCAATCTGAAGTCTGTGATAAATTTGGATCTGAGAAAAGATTTCTCATTGCAGAATCATGTAGGATATTTTTTAGGCTTGCCCTAAACAGTCTTCTTGTAAAAAGGAAATGCACGACAGTGCTGTTGTAACAAGCTTAAGGAATGCCAAAAAGTAACAAGTTTATATTAACGGCTGTCTTGGAAGTTTTAGCACCTTGAAGAGCCACTTGGGAGTTTACCAAAATCATCCACTCTTTATTGAGAGTGTGTGTAAAATGAATATTTTTTTGTTTCAATAATCACACTAACAAGAGTGAAATCTACAAAAGTGTGATAGGGAAATGGGATCTGTGTTTGGATTGCAAACCAGAGGCAGTGACAGTAGCAAGAATGATGGGATGGCAGACCCAGCATATTTTTTGGAATCTACTTTAAACAAGAGAAGAAATGATTATGTAAGCCCAAAGCAGACACAGCAAAATTATATGACTACATGGTGAGCTGGCTTGGGAACTTCTACCTGTCTTCTTTTTTTTTGTTGTTTTTAGGATTTTCTGAGAGTTTTTAGGCTGTGTTCTCTCTTCTCCAGGTAGCAGTAGTACATTTGATATTTACGAATAAGCATAAGTAATTTGTCTTCTTTTCTCTTTTGTGCCCTTTAATTGAATCCATGATTTAACCATGTTATTGGCTGTAGATAGAACTTTGCTACGTAAAGGTTTTTGTTGTTGAAAATGCAAGAGGGAGTTTTTCCTCCATCATCGCACAGTTTTAATTGTGATACAATGAGGGATTACACGCACTTTGCAATTTCAGATTTATTCTGCTGCACTTCATGTGCTTTTAGGAAGAATGCATATAGTCGAATCTCAAAGGGTGGTATGAAGCCACGGTCTTACTAAGCTTGACGGTAAACATCTCCCTGAAACACCTCTGTGTCTGACATTTACACCTAATCTATTCCAATACTTCAAGTGTAACATGCGCTGGTGGACCCATATGAACATAGTACTAGAATCAGCAGCAAGCCTTGTTATGATAACTGGCATGTCTTTTTGATAAAGTCTACTGTGCTTCCACCTCAAAATGCATGCCACATTTCAACTGTAGACCATTTTTATTTATGGTAAAAGAATCCTTACCAACGCGAGGAAATGGACCGATGAAGGGAGTTTGAAAATCTTATATTTGAAACTTGCACAATTTCACTATGAGCATGCACACCTTCGGTAAATAAAATTTGTCCAACAAAATATTCAGGGATGAGAAATAAACTTTGAAAATGAACACTATATCTGAACAAAACATACAACCTAAATGCGGTTAACATGGGGGCTATGGTAGCAATCAGTCACATACAGCCATTACACGACTGTTATCATTATTTTCTTGGGGTCTTTGTTCATGGGATACATCATTTAAAGGGGTAAATGAATGCAGCAAGTACTGGGAAGACTCTTTTGACAAAGTGATTGTAGACTTTATTTCTGTAGCACAGATTTACATTTTTCAGATGGCTTTCCGTTGGTAGTCGGGAGGTGCTATTGTGTAGTCATTCAGGCTGAACAGCTGCGAGTTCCTAGCCATGTACCTAGAACATGAACGAACAATATGTTTCTTTTTTGCATACATAGAGTGGATGTTGAAAATGAAGGCAGTGCTCCCACCCTGAAATACTACTTTGTGAACAGTATAAAGTAACTCACGGTTTTTTCTCTGTCAATATAAAGTAACGCACAAACATACTTTCACCCACAACTGTGTCATGCAACCATTACACACAGAGACATTTGATAACCTCCTTAGACCAAATTTTTATAGCAAGAGGCAATGCTAAGCAAGAGACAATGCCAAGCTAAATGTGAGGAGCCATAATGATTTAAAGAGGAGTGCACACGTTTTCAACCTGCACCTGCACTATAGATCTCGAAGCAAAGTAACTGTTGAAATTAACCAAACACATTCACGTAGCGATGTATGCTTCACTATTTCAAGTCATTATTTCAAGGCAGTATACAGTGGTGACCCAATAGCACCATTTGCATCAATTCTACATTCCTGCGCCTTGCTGCGCACACTCGAGTACTAACTGTGCCAAAGTTCACTAGTTCACCTGTTTACACCGCATCAGATCGTTTAAGGCCCAAAATTATTCTTGGTCGTCGCAACAAACACCATTAGAGCTTTTCATAATGCGCCAATTCGCTTTGCTTGCTCCTAACCGAAGTATCTGTGCTGCTGTGGGTGTCTGCGTTGTTGAAAGTTTAGCATGCGGTTGATAGCCTCTCGTATTTGTTATAAAACTGGCAATGACACGTAGAAAAGTGACTTTTTTCTTTCGTTTGCAACTGATGTGTGGTACCATAACATATCCACCATGGCCAATGGGCAACAGGTATCGGCAACGTGTGCTATCAACAGCCTATTTACGCAAATTAGAATTCGGCATGAAACATCTTGTTTGATTTTGACAAAGAAAAAAAATTGAGGCCGCTATGTCGTGCTGAGCAACGTTCTTCGGTACGCCTACTTTAAAGTTAAGCCTAAATATCCACATAGGGTGCGTCTGGCACGATGTGGTGCAGCTGCCGCTTTCTTATGTCCAAGCGCTTGTTGCACGTCTTAATTGCAAAACCGATAAAATGCGACGGTTAGCCAGTGCACATTGAATGTAACTGAGCCGCAAAGTTAGCCACCTATAAAAAACAAGTGCTCTCATGCATCCTTAACGCCGTTTGAACAATAAAGTGTATTGTCGTCAGTCGACAAAAAAAAAAGGCAGTTACACTGCAAGGGCTGGCTCGTTTGATATCCTATGCAACCGCGCTCGTCGCCCCAGCTTACGCTGGGGGATCTTGTCAATTTGGACTTTATAAGCTACATGACAGCTGCTGCAAAACCTGTTGAGACTCTGTATATATTGCTGTCACAATAAAAGGTCAAACAAGTTTCCCCAGCTTGTAAATGTTTCCCAGTGATTCCCTCACACTTGACAACTACGCTTGCAAGCGGGCTCAGCTTGGCCGCCGTTTGTACGCGAATCCAACGTTGATTTCCTTCTCCCCGCTTTCTCCCAAATAAAAGAAAAAAATGGTAGCACTCCTCCTAGCTAACAAGTTTGTTGTCATCTCGCCTGTTCGCAGACACCATAGTTATTCCCCAACCATGTAAGTAGCATGGGCTCACACCCACCCATCGAACCTTGACAGCATATTTAGGTGTAAAATTCGTGAACACGTGGCGTTGCTAAAGCCAAATGTTCAACAAACGGAATTGTCTCCTTCATGACTGCCTTGCAGAAATACATCCCCCCCCCCCTTCATGTTTAGATGGATTTCTCACCTTGCCCCCTTCGTATGGGCTGTTTACATTGTGCCAGTTTCATTTTTAGAGTACTTTCTTTTTCTTAATCTGGAAAACTGGAAGTGCTAGGGCTGAAGTTCTTTAAATTAAAAAGAAAATGTCATTCTGTGCTCACACCTCTAACATTTATTGAGTATGATGGAGCATCATTCCGGAAAAGTAGTGGTGATTATTTGATGCACTGTCTATGCAATCAATTTCCAACAGTATATTCTTACTTGATCGCATTTACTTCATTTCCATTCTTTGTTAGACTGCTGGTTTTCTGATTACGGTCTTCTTTTCCTCAGAATGACCTCCTGACACCTGTCATATTGCAGAAGCAGTATGTGGCATGCTTCCTTGTCGCTTTTGCACGTCACGCATGACTTGTGCATCGCCCATAATGTGATACTTTGGTGTAAAGAACGTGATTGAGGGGGCAGACTGGTCTTTGGAACCAAAGAGTGACAAAAAATTTCATTTTTTAAAATTGGCAAGCATTTTTCTCTCTGCCAATTTTGACACACCAGGAAGTGGCAATTTTTTTGTAATGTCATTCTAACTGTCCAGATTCTCGGTGCTGTTAACATGTAGAACCTGCAAAAAAAAGGGGGGGGAACCGACTTAACGCTTCTTTATAATTTGCTGGGACCTATGTTAGAAACTGTAATGAATTTATGAGCACCCTTATGAGGATTTCAAAACATGCGCCCCATGATTGTTACTTTTGAAGAAGCTGTGCATTTTCAGTTTTTCCCATTTCTTTTTTACGGCTGTTCAATTTTGAGGCCTCAATATCTCTGCAGCTAGGACAGGTACAACAGTAATGATTATTGCAATGAAAACTTGTATGTGTGTAGAATGCGAGTATGGGAGCAGAATTTAGAGAACAAGCCTTTTCAATTAATTACTCATCAAAATTGTAACACGATTCGAACTGCTTTTGAAAATGGATAGTTTATTTTGCTTTGAAATAACCAAGGCCCAAAAACAAAAAAAAAAACTCTTGCATACTTTCAATCTATAGTCATTAGTCTATGTTGGCATATATTGATTGATATGTGGGGTTTAACGTCCCAAAACCACTGATGATTATGAGAGACGCCGTAGTGGAGGGCTCCGGAAATTTCGACCACCTGGGGTTCTTTAAGGTGCACCCAAATCTGAGTACACGGGCCTACAACATTTCTGTGTTGGCATATCTTAAATATCACTTATAATTAAGCACTTCTTTATCTATGGCGGCCTTAAACAATAGGGGGTGACTTCAAGTTATCTCAGGAACAAGATGAGTGACAGGAAAACTATTTAAATGTTTGAAATCAGCAGAAAAAAGTGCATAATCCTGTGCAGTTTGATCAAGATCACTGAAGAAATAAACAAAAAATGTCTAAGACCAGTCTGCCCCATTAATGGCTGCTCTCTTTATGTCGGCTGTCTCCGGGCTTACATTGCAGGAGCATTTCCAGTTTGCACACTAATAAGAATATTCACTGAAGATTTTTTTTTTTTGCACTGAATGATTCTAAATTACACCTTGTTTGCTCCAAACCTGCTCCGACACACATTTCCTCCTACTCCAAATCGTAAACTGGCTGGATCACCACCGTGATCAATATGACAGGACAGAATGAAACTCACTTGAGAAAATCGTGAATGTGATGTAGCAGAAGCTGGACACTCTTCTCGTCCAGCGGGGTATAAGCCAACATGCTGCCAAGCCTGACTGAAATATAAGATAAGCTTTCTCCATAAGTTAATATTCCTGCATCAATAACCACTTGTACAACAAATGCAGAACCTGAACTTTTAATTTGTGAGAGTTGCTAGGAATGTCCAAACTTTTAAGCAAGTTTGTGTGAGTATATATATATATATATATATATATATATATATGATTTCAAAAAAGAAGTTCTGTGGGTCCAATGCAAATATAGCTTAGAAATAAAGGAGCACACTTACGAAAATTTGATAGTTGTTTACTCTACGTTTCGGCCGTGGCACGGCCGAAACGTAGAGTACACGCGTATATGTTTGCAGAGTATGCACACACACACACACACACATATATATATATGTGTGTGTGTGTGTGTGTCTGCAGTTGACAAGAAAATTTTCAATGGCACTGCCAACAACTGCACAAAAGAAAAAATGCACAAGTTCACACTTCCAGAGGAGTCACTTTTATCTGAAATCCTGTTTGAGCTAGTATTAGGCTTCCTTTGAGAGACGGTGTCACAATGCCTGTAGACGCTTTTGCCTGCATTGCAACATGGCGTTATACGTTAGGCAGTGCCCATGGTTTGTCCTACAAAGTGAAACAATGGTGCCCATGCAGAGCAGTGCATAGTGTGGCGTGTCGTAGTGAGATGGGATGCGTCCTTGCGAACATGCAATACTACTAGATGCATTTGAAGATTGTAGCTTCTACTATAATTTCCAACCAATATGCTTTATGAGTAGTGATTTTATGATTTGTGTCTATATTGGAGAGCCAGCCACACTCATATTACTACCTCAGACAACATGCGACTGTTGATGCACTGTTTGGCTGCTTTGTAGGCAAACAGCTCTATTTGTAACAGTTATTCACATAAAAATGCAACTGCTCAGCTAGAAGCAATAAAGGTACCAAATACTTTCAGGTACAGACAAGGGAAAAGTATTAATTGACGGACTTTATGCAATAGAGCAGTTCCAATTACGTGGCATCAAAATAATGAGAACATGGCAGGCTAACGTAAAATAAAAAGTAAATTAGGACAAAATTGCATAAAGTTTCACACTATAATACCCAGAAGGGAATCTGATGCTAGTGTCCATACAGGCTTTGTGAGCGGTGCTTGAGCCACCATGGGAATGATGAAAAGTACAGGCTTCAGATGGATTTCGTTCTTGAGATTTTCAATGCTTGTTAAGAGTTTTAAAACAAAAGGTTATTAAATTATTTTCACTTAAAACTTACTTAAACTAAAATGTATTGCAGAACATTAACATAAACATGTTTTTTAAGTATAGCCTGAACAATTTTAACCATCAGGGTATGCATTGCTCTGTAACTGCGCTCCGGATATGGCATCACCAAATAATGAATTATTTTATTAAATTTCAACACATTTGTTTTTTCCCTCCGAAGCAAGCATCATCTATTTATATAAATAAAAATACTGTATTGGGTGAGAAACAGTTAACTTATTATCTGCTGTGATGAGAGATGCATTTGCATTGTTAATCTGCCTCCAACACAAACAGAGGCAGAGGAGCGTGATGATGAGTCCATGTCAATTTGCAGCCCATTTGAATGACCTTCAACAAGATGCACATCAAAAAACATGAACTGTATGCGATTTACTGCACTGGCATGAGACAATACATCTATGCATAGCAGTGAGTGCAAAAGACTTTAGTAAAGCTGTTGAGCCCAACCCATAAAGCTGCAACGCCACAGCAAACCGTGAAACCTAGTGGTCTTCAGCCTGTTTCAACAACAAAACCATCATTAATTGAGTGCCTTGCACTGCACCCCGCTTTGCAAAAAAAAAAAAAAACTGCAGAAAAAAAACTGTAGACAGTTTGCTAGCTAATTGATTGGTATGTGGGGTTTAACGTCCCAAAACCACTATATAATTATGAGAGACGCCAAAGTGAAGGGATCCGGAAATTTCGACCACTTGGGGTTCTTCAACGTGCACCCAAATCTGAGCACACAGGCCTAAAACATTTCCGCCCCCATCAGAAATGCAGCTGCCACAGCCGGGATTCGATCCCGCGACCTGTTGGTCAGCAGCCGAGTACCTTAGCCACTAGACCATTGCGGCGGGGCTTGCTAGCTAATTCAATCCAATTTAAAGCCTGTAAGCCTGTACTTCCTATCAATACCATGGTGTCTGAATAAGTGCAGCGCCAGTTTCAGCTCAAGATTATTGTACGAAACTTTATGTGACCTTGAGTCTACTGCTCAGGCATTGTAGAGTAATGCCTCTCAAAAGGGCAACTCACCGAATAGCCTTAGCAGGTGAATGGCACCATATATTTGTGACATAGGAGTATCCGGCCTTTCATTTAAAACCTGCGTGTACAATAGAACATTAATTCAGATCACAATGTACAATACCTACTTGGCACATGATTATGGAGCCCAAGCTAGCACCACTAAAGAAGTTTACGATATCCAATGTGACACAGTTAAACTCTTATTAAAAGCAATTAGCAATATAAAAGTTATCATTACTCATTTAGCTGCTTTAACAGCAGTGGTATATTGCTGCAGAGTACTAAATGGTCGCAGGCTCATTTCCCAACCAGTGTGAACAGGTACTTCCCGAGGGAGCAGAATGCAAAATAAATGCATTTGTGAATCTCAGTGCTACATACAGAGCTTTAGTGCAGCTTTGGGAAGTTTAACAGCCAAATAGAATTATCTTCCTGCAGTTACTGCAGTTTAAACTGCTTGTTGTATGATGCAAAAACCATTACAAATATGAATATGTGTGAACAAAAGTCAGACAATTTGCACAGAAAAAAAATTGCGGCACTTTTTTTTCACATGTAACATACACAGTGAAATATGAAAGTTGTAGAATAACGGCAATATTTTGCGTGCAAGAGCACATGCTAAATGGCATTTGTGATCCCTGCCTTCCTGTATATGTTAATGTACTTAATCTTTTTTCGCTTGGTAGTGTTTAAGGGGGGAGGTGGCATTGAATAAAAACTTTTTTATTTGTTGACCTACAGCAATTAAATTTGGCATGCATACTCATAAGTGTCTCGAATAGGGAAATATGCAGTTTCATCATGATAGCTTCAGTCGTTCTCAAGTTACATAATGCTGCACGATCCAATTACATGGTCTGCTTGTGGAAAGCCTAGTGCTGCAACAAAACATGCCAAGAAGCTGCAAATGGTGTTGATCTTTACTCAAAAGAAAGCTACAGGGTATGGCACCCTCAGAATTTTTAAATAAGTTCTCTCTTTTTTTTTTTTTTAGAGAGCATCATGGCTGCCGACACACATTGTCAGAAACAGTGGCACGGACAAATCATCGTCTAGAAAAATAACAGGGCCATAAAACAGAAATAGAAGATTGCTGTACCCACAAGCAGTGTTCAGGGATTCAGGAAAAAAAAACAGAATCAAAATCGGTCCAATCATTCCCGTGCTACTCTTTCCACGAGCAATGCACTATGTCCAAAACACACTTGTGAGAAAAAGCCTGTCGAAGTTTTCGACAGGCTTTTTTTCAATGAACTTTTTTGTTTCTCATTGGATATTGATGAAAATTGGCACATACACTAAGAATGACCTCACAGTGCTTCCATAAAAATTTTGAAGCGATACCACAAATACTTTACGAGAAACAAATTATTTCTTTATTGAACCATGTGGAGGGGCTGAGCATAATGTAAAAAAAAGAAAAACAGTATTGAGAAAGCTGCCTTTAAAGTTTCAACTTTTCTTTACGTCTCTAAGACACCTAAAAATTGGGATCTCAGGTTTGTCTTGTGATATTTGACTTCTTTTCATGATTTACAAAGAACAAGTATAGGGGAGACCCACGCTGAGGGAGGCGCTGCGGAGCGTGGCGCTGTCAGCCAATGTGGGGAGAAAACTGGTTACTCGAGTGTTCGCCTCTCCGCTGTCCCATTCAACCTGCTTGAAAACGCGTTGCTTTGCTCGACCGCTGCACGCGTTTTGCACGTGTTTTTGAGAGTCTTGCGTCGTGCGCGGTTATGATGTATGCGCTCTGTCCGCATTTAATAAGTTGCCGCAATTGAGGACTTTTTCTTTTTTTTCGTGGCAGCAATTTGGTAAAAGGGTAGCGAAGCAAGTTGTAGCAGACGACGCCGTCCTCGTTAGAGCGAAGTGCGTTTCGCAAGTGACAGACGACGCTGTTTACGACGTTAGAGGTGAATAAAACTTTCTGTACGTTGATAATTATATACCTGTTTTATTTGGTTTACTCTGTGTACCATGCACTATGTTTGTTCCTGGATGCATGGGTAAGGCCGCTTCTCGTGCGTTAGGTTAAGCGGTTCTTGCGCTGTGACTGCTATTAGTTGGGATACCTTAATTTACTAGCACCCACCCAAGTTATCGTGCGGTGTATACACAACACTTCAAAAAATAAATGGTCTATTTGGGGCTTCTTCCTGACCCACAACAGTAATTGACATCTATCTCGCGTGTCTTTCCTTGCATTATGCCCCGCCGTGTTGGTCTAGTGGCTAAGGTACTCGGCTGCTGACCCGCAGGTCGCAGGTTCAAATTCCGGCTGCGGCGGCTGCATTTCCGATGGAGGCGGAAATGTTGTAGACCCGTGTGCTCAGATTTGGGTGCACGTTAAAGAACCCCAGGTGGTCGAAATTTCCGGAGCCCTCCACTACGGCGTCTCTCATAATCATATAGTGGTTTAGGGATGTTAAACCCCACATATCAATCAATTATCAATTTCTTTGCATTATCACCGCTCTCAACGCGCGTACCTTGAGTTCACGAACAGCGTGCGTACCATCATGATGAGCGCCCAACTTTCAGAGAAACTTTTTTGTGTGTGTCTAATCTGCAGGGGAAGAGCGCATTGCTATAAAGGCAGTTTATCTTGGTCACGTATCAAAAATGCACCGTGTTGTTCGGGCTACTCCTGCACACTCAATAACAACTAGTTCACTGTATCTGCCAACGAACGTGCAACAACGGCTAATGCATTTTTTTTCTTTTTTTCATAGTTGTCCAAGCTTCTGGCAACCACACACTTCCGTCGGCGTTGCGTAGATTTAAAAATATATAACAACACATTACCAATACCACATGTGCACACAGCTTCAACTACTACGTCCCCAACAATATCGAATAATAGTAGCAGCATAAAATATGTCTTCGCTATTTTTTAACAGTGCTCTAAAGACGGGCGTTGAAAATTTGTATTTTTAAGATGGGGACGTGCATCTCCCACTAACTCGATAGATTAGAGGAACCGTGACACAGGAATTAACACCCGTAATTTTGAATGCATTGTGCGCGTGCTAATTTTTATGAAAAAGAATGTTTACATACTTTTTTCGGCGCACTGCATTAATCCATTTCTGTCGTCTGCTTGTTTCGTACCATCGGTTCGGGAATCGGTAGAATTTCACTGGTGGAGTCGACCTCTTCGTGTTTGCAAGGTTATTGTGACAGCTGACGACGCAGCGATGTCACCCCCTTTTCTGTTGGGGTGACATCGCGGAACGAGGGACGTTTTCACGTGCAGCGCGTGCTTCGCAAATGCGTGGAAGCCAAAGGGAGCGGAAGGGTCGGAAGACTCTATTGTTGTGCGCTTTTTCTGGCAGGGGAAAGGCAAGCGCTGGCGTCGCCAGGCAAACTTGAGCTGGTCTCCCCTATAGATTTCAAACCAAGTTCTTTGTATGAAGGAGTGGTGTGATAGGTATGACAGAAACGATTGCAATTGAATAAAACCATATACTGAAATTATTACACATACTTTTTCGTGCTGAAGTTGTAATTCGCGTAATTAATTACTTGATTACAAATATTCACTGAACTTTTCTTTATTTGGAGAGAGGTTTATTGCATCAGAAAAATGGATCACACCATGACGGCCTATGCCTTCTTTCCAAAAGTTATGGGCAGAAGACTGGTGGCACAGAAATTTCTAGCAGTATAATTAATGACACGAAACGGGCATATAAAAATTTGTGCCCTTGATTCATACATGCTCTTTCGCCGCTCTAGCCGTGAAACGCATCATCATACAGCCGGTCGCGGAAACCCTAATCTACAGCAATTCATTAACCTCGGAACATTCATAGACGTTCGTGGCGATATCAAGCACGGCTACAAGCACGTCTGAATCGCATCACAAAAGCTTATTGACAGTGCTTCATATGACCGTGGGGTGCGCGGCCGCGTGGACAGTGCAGCCGGCGCATAATGCACTTGCCGACGGCGTTCGATGACGCGCGAAATGTGTAACTACGATGACAAAAAATCGGCACGCACTGCACTTGGCATCGCATTTTCGAATGACGCGCGAAACTGCTAGCCGCTGTTCCGAGCGATTCTTGGCAGTGAAGGGGGGGGGGGGGGGGGGGGGGTGACGAGCTTGACTGTGTTGTCCGCTGCCGAGGCGTAAAATGCCCGCACCTGATTCAGAGGAGCTAGCGAGTGATGTGGTACATTCCTTGCAAAGAAGCACATCGCCAAAAGTGCGCTTGCGCCTCGTTCCTGGCCGCACTCTCGCTGTCAGCGGAGTTAGGCCTAAAGCCGACTCCGATGACGCGCCGCACTCTTAGATTGCCGCGCGCCCGCTTGTAGTAATCTGATCGTGCATCCGGTGCGGCCACTCGTAGTAATAGGATCGTGCCGCCCCTTTCAGCTTCGTTGCTTGTGAAGAAGCACGTCGCCACGAATGCGCTAGCGCGTTGTTCCTGCCCGCAGTCTCGCTGTCGGTGGAGTTAGGGCTAAAGACGACTCCAATGACGAGCGGCGCTCGTAGACTGCGCTCCCGCTCGTAGTAACCTGATCGCCCATCCGCTTACTGCTTGTAACTAAAGCGTAGTTATATCTTAAGTGACTATCAAGCCGTGAACACGTCACGAAGTGGTGATTTTCGAGAGCCATGTCCTCGCAACGCACAAGCAGCAGACGACGATCTCCCGGAGCGAGCATCGGGCCAATGGCGAGGCGAGCTGAGGCAACATGGTGGCCACGGCCAATCAAGGGCCTCAAAACGACCTTCAAACATTTGCTTTTTGCTCGCTTGTTGTTAACGGGAGGAGCCAGCTGAGGCGGGAAAGTTAAACACGGAGAAATGATTTTTCTGATGAGCCCAAGAAGCCAGGTCCCGGCCCAAACATCGTGAAGCTATAGCTTTTTTTGAAAATCGCCGTTTTCTCGCCACTTCCAGAAAAAGTTTTGCTACCTAGGTGGGTGAAACAAACTTTCCAAAGCACTTTTGCACGGTTTTCAGTGTAGATATTTTAGAACCAGATAGAAAGAGGGTTCTAGAAACTGAAAACTTGAGTTTTGAAAAATCGATTTTTTTGCCATTTTTCGCGATTCCAAAGCCGCGTCCCCCCTTAACGTATGCACACACAAATGCATACTCACACGTACTAAAAGACGTCTGATATAAGCATTCAGTTTTTTTTAAATATATGTGCACCGATGTAGGCCATTTCTACAAGGATGGAAATCCTGCAGACTCAATGGGGTCACAGCGTGGTTGCCCACCAAATTGTGTTCTTCAGCGAAATACAGAAGTAGAAAATCTATTGTGCCTATATGTGTATGAAAAATGGCCTGTAGAAATATACTTCCTTGCAAAATGAGCCATTGAAGCCACTGGCTATAAACCCAGCCCACCATCGGCGACCGCCATTTTGCCATAGCGTGAGTGATGTCAAGTGACACACGGAGGGGAGCTATCGTGTTCTACCCAAGTTTCAGCAGCTGCAAACCTTTCAATTTTTAATGCCAAAATGAAGACAGCTCTAATATTGTTACTGCATGCACAGCTGACCACGAAGCAATATCATTGGCCAAATACACACGTTTAAAAAAGAAATGGCTTGATACGTCATGGCTGGCAAAAACACCACTATTGTCATACTCTTGGGCCACTCGCATGTTTATAAAAATGCTCATTATAAACTAAGTTCTTGACCTACTGCACTGAAATTTCGTTAACTTGTTTGTGAACACCCAAGTATTGACCTAATTGATTGATATGTGGGGTTTAACGTCCCAAAACCACCATATGATTATGAGAGACGCCCCAAGTATTGACCTATGTGACACAGATTATGAGCGAAAATTCAGTGTCAGAGCCCCTTTAACTAAAGTCAAATCCCCCTACAACAAAATTGATAGGACGTGTGAAAAAATTCGTAGTCGTGGAATTTCGTTGTAGCAAAGTTCATCTACAGACCACAAAATTTGGTAAGATCTGACGATGACTCGTCCTTTGATCCCTTCAAGCGCATGCATTGAACTCTCGCCAGCTCAGACGTGCCTGGACGAGCTCTAAGTGAACGTATTTTCTCGCGTATAACGTCATCAAAAAATATATAAAAAATTTTGAGCTGAAGTTGGGGTGTGAATTTCACGAGAATTTCGGCACGCAAGTGGGCTTCATAGCACGGCTCATAGCAATGTAATGAAAGGAGCCTAGCGTCAATACGCGAGTAGTTTTTTTTTCCTCCCGTGGTTTGCGGCCGGGGATGCCAGTTATATGCTGGGGTAGGTTGTACAGAAGAAAATATGATATTCAGATGAGGCGTGCTGAGTGCACATCACTGCGAACGAACGTGCCAAAGCTTAGCCAGAGACCAACTAATAACTGCAATTAACTGTGATGAAGCTCTGCACTACCGTGGCCATAAGTGAACAACAAGAAAGCCATAACGCTTTGTGTTGTCTTATGGCTTTATTGCCTTTAATCTACGGCTGTTTTAACTGCGCACCTTCAGAGGATATTCGCTATCGATCAACAAGACGATAGCAACCAACCAGGCACGGTTTCCTGCGCAGCGGTTCCGGCAAACAATACTAGCTCCGTTTTCAATCTGTGTGCGCTGCGCTGGCTGTGCAAGTGACTTAAAAACTGCATAATTCCTATCTTTGTTCGCATCGTTACAGAAAGAAATACTGGGTTGAGTCGGTGTGTGTTGACTGCCTGCGTACTTTAGTGGAGGGCCATGATCGCGTTCGGCACCACAGCATTTGTGTTTACAGCAATTGCAGCAGAATGCAGTCACGCTGGGACTAAGTGCGAGCTGCTCGCGTGTGCGCCTTCATGCGGTGTGGTTGTTATTCACGATCGCAGGGCTCGTAACGACAAGCAGTAGTTTAGCTTTGAGCACGACGACAAAATATATGGCGGGGTTTCTTGGAGATCGTGATTATGCCGCAACCCATACGTACTTGCATCAGATCTACCGGCAGCATCACGGTGGGTGGCGAGCTGTCGCAGAGCATCTCAATGACGATATATATAGCAGGATGTGCGTGTGGTGGCAGAAAGTGTGTATCTGTTGAAAACACAGTTGTTGCGATACTGCCTTGCGCTCTGGGTGTCAGACGTCAAGAAATGGTCGAGTGGAATTTCGCGGCAATCGAGGCAAGCTTCTATTTATTATGGGGTTGTACTCGGAAAACTTCGTTAAAGCAGAAATATCCAGGAAAGATATTCGTTAGACGAGCCATTTTTAACTTTGCTTTCTATGGGTGGCTGATGGGGAATCTAAAATCATTCATTATGGCGGAACTTTCTTTGCAGCGGAATTCCTTATAGCGAGATTCGACTGTAATACTGCTCATGTTGGTTCTTAAACACGCATTGTAGCATCCGAAGTCGTCCCTCACCAAACTCAAACACAGCACAAGAATAAAGATGTCAGTAATAAAAATTAGGGTTTCAGCTGTAATTGAACCCAGAAATCCAGCATAGTAAAGCATTCTACCACAGTGTGCTGTTCCAAAGTGCTTTTCATGAGAAAAACTGAACAGAGGCGTCATTTCAGAAGTCTTGCTAGCAGCTTGACAGGTTTATAAATATTTGAAGTCCGCAAAACAAATACATCCTGGTAATGAAGATGTCTATATCTAGTGCACGCCATTCAGGCACTTCTGATTGTGTGGAAATGTGTTGAACTACTACAGTCAGACTCAACCCTGCCTTTTACAGCAGCTTTCTTGCTAGGGTGCCTCAATGATAACAATTTGTTCTATGCTGTAATATCACTGATTGTGCATTTCACTGACAAAAAAATTCAGATTTTCTACAAAGTGGCAGTTGCTATGGTAATGCATTTTGTTTTGAAGTTGCACCATCCTGCCGCCAGCTGACTGGTGCACACAAGGCATTGCCACTTTATCTGATTAATTGCATACCGCAAGGGTCCCCACTTAAAGTACTATATATCTTACAGTGTGGCCAAACATATTCCACCTCATGAACTTTGATCCCTCAGGGTAAGATAGCAGAGTAGCACTATTTTAAGACAAGCCATCTACAAATTCTGTTATTGGTGACCAAACTTACATCAGCATACTGAGGACGTTCAAACTTGTACAAAAGTTGGCTTCCTAGCATCACATTGAAGTATTCCTTGAGTCCATTTGTCACCTCGATGACGGCACTCTCCCTGTGTAAAGAGAAAAAAGGGCTTTTTTACCCTTTTTTTGCAGTTTTCTACAGAAGAAATCCCAAGTAGAGCAATACAGACTGTAATGGAAGTTTTTCAGTAACGATGCTTCAAGCAACAGTGAACACAAGTGCCACTGAATGTAACTTCTTTTGAAAAAAAAAAAAGAGAGAGAGAGAGAGAGAGAGAGAGAGAGAGAGAGAGAGAGAGAGAGAAAGAAATCCAGGTGCGCTCGCTCTGTCAGGACAAAGGGGGGCTAGCGAAGCTTAGTGTGTGTGTGTGTACCAAAAGTACTACTTTTCTTCACTTCTTTTCTTCACAGGGTAGCCAGCCAGTCTGAGAACTGGCTAACCTCCCTGTCCATCCTCTTTCAATCCTCCTCCTTTTCATCCCGTTGTGCAATGGTTCCTCCCAACTGTTTCCTTCCTCCATGCTGGGAATTGGACTTTCATCCGCGTACTTGGCAGCACAGCACTTTAGTTGCCACAGGCAACAAAAACGGTCATGCGTGCATGCCCACGCAACAATGAAATTTAAGATTGTGAAATGACAAGTCACCTCGCCAAAGATCAGATTGCTATATGAGAAATGGCTGGTCACTGACAAGCCGGTGCAACTTCAAAGGCCTCATTTCTTTACCCTCATGGATGCCTGGTTACTTGCCTAAAACCCCAAAATCTATGAGTTATCAAAGCTTCACTTTGAATATTTAAGAAATGTTCCAATAGTGCAGCTATATTCCATTTATTGAAGCCCTCCTCATGCATACACAAGCTGCATAAGTACCACCACCATTGTAAAAAGCCCCGAATTATTCAAGCAGCGATGGCCTGAGCTGCCACTAAGCATGAAAAAAAGTTTAAAAACACACAAGGACGCAGTTCTTATGCGAGGTAAAAGAAGTATCAAGGTGATATAGAGGTTTCATTTCAATGTGAACATTTTATGTAATCCATGTGGCATTCATGCCAACCAAACCCACGATAATGCTCATGCACAATGGTAACCATTGGCTGTTTCCTGCACATATGTACTGATGGCACTGCAAATGGATTCTTTTTTGCAACTCGTCTATTCCACTGCGGATCTAGAAATGGCCACCTTGAAGTTCACAAGTTTCATTGAACAGAATAGGGACGTGCCTGTAAGCTGGCTAGCTTCTATTTCAAGATTACAGTATGTATGCATAGTAAAACATCAGTGTTACATTCACAGCTTGTACTAATTTCGGTGTGGTACGAATTTTCCTGTGGTCCCGGTTAAGGCTTATGAACCTGCAATGTAATGAAGTAGGGTTGTTGCTAACGATTTTTACCCTGCGAAGTTTGATTCGAACATATCCTAGCATGCAGGTATGAACGGGTGCTGGCCGCATGGTCGAGAAATATATGCGGCAATCACAGTGTGAGGGTGTGGGAAACGGAAGTGCGGGCTTGTGCAGCACGCTGTAGTCTCCAAGATCACGAGTGCGAATCTTGGAGGAGTAAATGTGCCTTCATGTGCCTTTGCGTTTAGATTACAGATTGTGCTTGCATCGTTTCTTTTCCTTTTTCTTTTTTTCAATTTGTCAATGAGGGCTGCTGTGCTCGATGCAACGTCATTGTACTACTGCGTTCACACACGCCTGTCGATCGATGCAAGCCATGACCTTAAAATCAGATATCCTACGAAAGGTGAACAAGGACAGAAAGAAAAAGTGGATTTGCTAGGTGAAGTAGTTAGGCCTTGAAACATCAATGTGCTTCATTGTTGGGGACGTGCACACCTGCCAGCTTTCTGATTTGCACGGGACACTCTTGACAAACCTCCCAATTGTGCAGGCACGGCCGCAAATCTCCCGAAAAACATCTCTAATACCACTATAAAAAGTAGGGGTTTGCACGGGACACTCTTGACAAACCTCCTGATTGTGCAGGCACGGCCGCAAATCTCCCGAAAAACATCTCTAATACCACCATAAAAAGTAGGGGTACGTATTTTGTGAAAAATCCTTCCAACATGTGCTCATAAATAACACGGTACGCCAAGAATATTCGCATTCATATTGTTGCTTTCAAGGCCCACTGGCATCTCTCAATTTTAACCTGTTGCAGCAATGTAGTTTTCCGTCACTGAATAAACACTTGCGCAACCACTTTAGCACATAACCAATGATAACACACAATGATAACACACCCCACGGTAAAATGTAACGCCTTTGCAGGTCAGTAGTTCTTTTCTTTTTAGTTTCAAACGAATAGTAGTGCCACATACAGGCACGTGTTAACCTTTCATGGCACACACGGGTGGATACAAGTTTTTGCAAAAAGGAATCAGCTTCTGGGAGAACCTGTTATGTACTCTTATTTGAGCGTACACTGAAAGAAAAGTTTTAGGACCCTTAAGCTTCGCCTTCAAAAGTTGAATGCAATAGCATTATCCTGTAGAGAGTGCATACTTCAACCACTTAATGCATACTTCTTATTGCATGATGTTACTACAAAAGTTTCAATTGTGGACGAATACAATGTAATTGATAAAGATGAAAGTGGCTTGAGTCAGTGAAGCTTTTGCAGGCTGCATTCTGTGTAATGGGTGGCACACTTTAAACCACAAGCAATTATGCATGTCAAATGTTTTCGAACTTGCTATGCACCACAACGTGGACTTAAGAGAATACGCACACTAATTTGTGTGCCTTTTGTAATGGGTGGCCGGCTTTAAACCACGAAGCCGTTAAAATAATCACATGTTCTGATGCCCAATGGCAATGTATGCTTGTACCATGCAATATTACTGCAATATTATGTTTTGTATTGTGAAGGCCGTATACAGACCTCTCGTGTTTGTGAACAACTGAAGTTATTTTCATTGCATTTTCAAGCAGCGGAAGTTGTTTTCACTGTATTTCCAAGCAGATGCGTATCTGTGATGTAGAACACCTGCTTGCCATACAAACAGCCAGACTTCAATCCTTACTCGGACCCGATAATTTCTTTCTTGATTTTGCGGTCATGGACAAGATTATTATTTTTTACTCACAAGCAATGATACCGGCACGGACACTGAAATTTTCGCAAAACGAGCTCTTGAACTCAATCGTGTTAAAAGTAGGGGGAGGGCAGTCCAGGCCACTCCTATGAACTTGGTAGTTAGTTATAGCACATGAATGCATGAAAAATATGCAGTTATTGATAAGCAACTACCTTGTTAAACTACACAATAAAAAAAATGGACCACGAACAATGCGCTCAATCACTCGTTTCACTGAGAATCGATGATGTGCATGAGCTACCTGACAAACATCTATAATTGTTATCACAATATAATAAAACACAGTAATGTTGTCAAAAGCAGTGGAAGCATGTGCAAGTAGCCCCAATGCAGCTTTGAAGCTCATACACAAAGCCGGTTTGTCAGTGCCTGCAAACACACAGCCCGAACACCGTCCGATTTCGGCATGACACAAAAGAGTGTTCTCCTACGAGCCCCAATGGTTTCACATACCACATCTATTATGAACAGCGAACGTAAACACCATGTTAGCCGTAAGCAGTGGCTGGAACAATGGAATGATCTGGCGCTTCTCGTCGGCCGCGAAGAAATGACATGGAGGTTATTTGTGAGCAAACCGTATTTCAAGCATCCCAGTATCATCTATCTGAACAAGACGGCACACGAAAATATGTTGGCATTGCAGTTTTTTACAGCCGCCACATGTCGATGCGTATGCTCTGTATGTGTTCGTGCGCAGTGAGAGCACATATGTAGTGGAAATGCGCATAGCGGCCGCTAGATGGCAGCAAATTTTGCATAACGTCTTCACTGGGCAGTCAATAGAGAAACGAGCTACAGGCAAATAGAGTTATACACCACAGGTAAGCTAAAATAATGTTACTCACTTGTTAGTTGAAAGTCCTTTTACTGACGTCTTCTGTTTCACATAATCCGCGAGAATATGGTCCACAGAGACATTGCAGGGAAGCTGTACAAGCTGAATGCAAACACAGAAATCGCACATTTAACATCAAAACACCAATTACAAAAGAAAATAATCAAAACAATCATCATCATCATCAGCCTGACTACGTCCACTGCAGGACAAAGGCCTCTCCCATGTTTCGCCAGTTAACCCGGTCCTGTGCTTGCTGCTGCCAATTTATACCCGCAAACTTCTTAATCTCATCTGCCCACCTAACCTTCTGTCTCCCCTTAACCCGCTTGCCTTCTCTGGGAATCCAGTTAGTTACCCTTAACGACCAGCGGTTATCCTGTCTACGCGCTACATGCCCGGCCCATGTCCATTTCTTCTTCTTGATTTCAGCTATGATATCCTTAACACCCGTTTGTTCCCTTATGCACTCTGCTCTCTTCTTATCTCTTACGGTTACACCTACCATTTTTCTTTCCATTTCTCGCTGCGTCGTCCTCAATTTAAGCTGAACCCTCTTTGTAAGTCTCCAGGTTTCTGCTCCATAGCTAAGTACCGGAAAGATACAGCTGTTTCTTGAGGGATAGTGGCAATCTACCTGTCATAATTTGAGAGTGCTTGCCAAATGTGCTCAACACCAATCTTATTCTTCTAGTTAGATCAATCTCGTGGTTCGGCTCCGCGGTTATAACCTGCCCTAAGTAGACATAGTCTTTTACAACATAAAGTGCACTATATCCTATCTCGAAGCACTGCTCTTTTTCGAGGTTGTTGTACATTACTTTCGTTTTCTGCAGATTCATTTCAAGACCCACCTTTCTATTCTCCTTGTCTAACTCCGTAATCATGAGTTGCAATTCGTCCCCTGAGTTACTCAGCAATGCAATGTCATCGGCGAAGTGCAGGTTACTAAGGTACTCTCCATTAACTCTTATCCCTAACTGTTCCCATTCTAGGCTTTTGAAAACCTCCTGTAAGCATGCGGTAAATAGCATTGGGGAGATTGTGTCCCCCTGCCTTACACCCTTCTTAATTGGTATTCTGTTTCTTTCTTTATGAAGCACTATGGTAGCAGTTGATCCCCTGTAGATTTCTTCCAGGATGTTTATATATACTTCATCGACGCCCTGATTCCGCAGTGTCTGCATGACAGCTGATATTTCTACTGAATCAAATGCCTTCTCGTAATCTTTGAAGGCTATGTATAGTGGTTGGTTATATTCTGAGCATTTTTCTATTACCTAATTGATAGTATGAATGTGGTCGATTGTTGAGTAGCCTGTTCAAAATCCTGCTTGTTCCTTTGGTAGATTGAATTCTATAGTTTTCTTTACTCTAGCAGCAATTACCTTTGTAAGTAGCTTGTGTACTACAGAGAGCAAGCTAATCGGCCTGTAATTCTTCAAGTCCTTGTCATCTCCTTTCTTATGTATTAAGATGACGTTAAACGTTCTTCCAAGACTCTGGTACTCTTCCAGTCAGGAGACACCTTGTAAACAGGGTGGCTAGTTTTTCCAACACAATCTTTCCTCCATCTTTCAGCAGATCTGATGTTACCTGATCCTCACCAGCAGCTTTGCCTCTTTGCATGCTCTCCAAAGCTTTTCTGACTTCTTCTATTATTACTGGTGGGGTGTCATCTGGGTTACTGCTAGTTCTTATAGTATTAAAGTCGTGGTTGTCCCGGCTACTGTACAGATCTCTGTAAAACTCCTCCACTATTTTAACTATCCTATTCATATTGGTAGTTATTTTGCCTTCTTTGTTCCTTAGTGCATACATCCGATTTTTGCCTATCCCAAGTTTCCTCTTCACTGCTTTGACGCTTCCTCCGTTTTTCAGAGCATGTTCAATTCTCTCCATGTTATACCTTCTTACATCGGATACCTTACGCCTATTAATCAACTTCAAAAGCTCTGCCAGTTCTATTTTGTCTGTTGTACTTGAAACTTTTATGATTTGACAATTATTGAGATTCTTCATTTTCTGATCCATCAATAATTCATCAATAATACATCAATTATTGATATTGATATGTGGGGGTTTACTGTCCTAAAACAACCATATGATTATGAGAGACGCCATAAAGGAGAGCTGCAGAAATTTCGACCAGTTGGGGTTCCTTAATGTCCGCCCAAATCTGAGCACACGGGCCTACAGAATTTTTGCCTCTATCGAAAAGGGAGCCACTGCAGCCGGGATCCAATCCCGCGACCTGCAGGTCAGCAGTCGAGTACCTTAGCCACTAGACCACTGTGGCGGGGCACGGCATTATTATTAATGAAGAAAATTTTAAAAGGAACACTAATGACAGAACCTGGTATTGCAGACTAATTCTATTCATGTCACAGGCCTCTATAATATGCAAATCTATGTATGCTACACAGCACCCACATTCCACACTAATTTCGGATTCTAATGAGTAATTTTTAGCCATTAATATGAGCAGTGAAATACTATGTCTTTTTAATCTTCTTTATGTGGTTGACACAGAGTATCAGGCTTTCAATGAAAGCTGTCCGATGCAGTAAAGTAATAAGCCATTACCTTTTTTTGTTCCGTGATAAGGTCCCAGTCGTCTACAAGCCATGGCTTCAGTTCCTCTGGTATCCGCACCTTGATCTCTACTCGAGACAAGAATGCTTCCTCCTTTAGAGGAAAAATCCTTTGGCACAGCTATCGTGAAACTAGACATGCTTTATAGTAATTATACACTTATGGCTCCATCAAAAATGTAGGCTAATGCTGCAACTTATCACAATGCAAAACACTACACATCCAAAATTAAATTTCACAATGGAGCTTCTTTCGAGATTTAGGGAGCAGTTCCATCCATGACTGCTTCGACTTCAATGGCTAGCTGACGCCAAAGTTTTCTCACACCTCAAAGTTTAAAGAGAGTGTGGTTAGAATATCTCACCGACTCAACATGGGGGTCCAGACGGCTTCGTTTCTTTCTCTGGCTTTCGCCACCAGACTCTGAAGCCTGACTAGCAGTTGGCTGGTGGGAAGCAGCTGCCGCCGTCGCCGCAGCACCTGTTCACATGACAAGTCAAGCACATTGACGTGGAAACTGAAGCCTCCTCATGCGCAGATTAAGCCAAAATGCCACCATAGCAAACAACTCGTAAAAAATAACAAAAACTGTCATCTACCCATTTGTAGCACAAACATACAAAAAAATGCACACGGATTTCTCAGCAAATGGGTTAATCAATAATGAAAGATTGACAAAGTCAGGAAGTTTGCATTAAGCCGCGCAAAGCCTGGCTGAGCGAAGCATGGGTGCAGCTTGTACTTCCAGTCAATCGTCACATCTAGCTTCGAGATGAGAGTCATCTGCCTTGAGAGTACGCAGTATTTTAAGGCATCCCATGGCTGTCTCTGCATAATTGAGCACAGCCAGGCAATGCACTGTAGAGTGAAGTTGTCACACGTCTGCATCAATGGCCGTGGCTGGCTAACGTGCATGTGCGGCTTGGTCAGACGGTGCAGTATTTAGTCTCAATGGTTGCTTCCTTTTTCTAGTTTTCTCTCTTCATGTCCACGGCTTTAAACTGCTATGGGACACTATGCACGTTGGTCTCCATCACAGAACACAACTATGCATGGCGTCACTCGAGCTACGCTCTGCATCCCATGGCTTCAGATTGCCATAAGACCCCATGCAGCGGTCTCCATCACAGAGCACGTGCTGTGCTCAGTCGTTGCTAGGCAACAAAGTGACAGTTTTTGTTTTTTGTTTTCAGCACCACTGCCATCGTTATGGTTAGACAGTCGGTAGGGCACGTGCTAAGCTCGGAAGTTGCTAGCCAATGGCGCAGCAACTTGTTTAGCAACACCACTGCCATCTTTGTAATTTGATTTACAGCTTTGCTGTTACAATTCATCCTGGTTTAGAATTTAGCCCCCTAGGCCAACGCATTACTAAGAAGCTTGCCTCACCACCTGAGCTAACAAGGCAAGCATATCACAGCGTGATGGCATATTGACAACTTTCAGCACATGAACATGAAACATCAAAAGAACAGCTCTGCAGTGGCCTGCTAGGCCAAGGAACATTTATGAAAAAGTTACTTTTTACCTTCATGAACCTCCTTTCCACGTGATGCTTTCTCATAACTGATTTTTCTAACAAGGCATTCTACGAGTAGAATAACCAAGTTACAAATATCCACCGTGTGTGGAGGAAATTTCACGCAATATAAAAAGAAAAGGAGCAAAGTGAATAGCCAACATATAATGCTTACAATATGACATGTGACATCATAACTTCAAATGCAACAAGTGGTATGTGAAACCGTTTGAGACAACCATGTTGTATTGCTGCAAAGCTAGCCACAAAAAGTGATCTAGACACTGATATAAGTGTATGAGCCAATAGTGTTTCCGACACAAGTAAACATAGGTATAGGCGTGCACCCGACTATAGGTGCTACTTAAACCTAAATTAGTGTTTCTATTTCATGAGAACTGTGCAAAGCAGACAAGAGAGCCTTAACACATACCTTTCTGTTTCTGGGGCTTTTCTAGGGATGGAGTTCTGCTGCGTTCCTTCTCTACCTCTTTTTTTGGTTTAGTAGCTTTGTTCTTTTTCCCCTTTCTGGAAAGCAATGCAGAACATTGGTAAACATGAACCTTCATTTTTCTTTTCTTTTTGGCAGTCCTCGTTGTTATTCACTGTCGACAAGATCTGAAAGTTCTATCTGTATTGAAGCCCTCATACCTCCATGAGTTGCGAAGTGTAGCTGTCTTGAAATTTAGCTTAGAAAAAGTATGCACATTAATAAAAGCTACACAAAACTGTTTGGCTCGTTGGAGGGTACACCTTACTAACAAAGGTTATGTCGAAGGGTATAGGTTGCATAAGAACGACACATCATCTTCGTTCCATTGTCTTGTATAACTCAGATAATTGCCACATGTGCTAAATTAAACTCTTGCATTCACTACTTTCAGGTCTTGGAAAATGTTTTGCAGTTCGGTGTTAGCAGCAAGGTGTCACTCATCCTCGTCTTGTCATCCTCGCTAATAACACTGATCTGGGAAAAAATTTCCTGGTCCTGAAAGTAGTGGACGCACGAGTTTTAGTTAGCACTCATGTCAATTTTCTGAGTCAGCAGAGCGATGAATTGGGCTAATTGATTTCTTGTTGCGCTCCAAATGACGAGACTAGGGTAAAAAAGCGAATGCAAAATAGGTGGTGCGCAAACTCACAACTGGTTTATTTACATCTTGCAAAGTGTTAAATATAGGTTAACAATCTGATATGATGGATGGGGTCATCATGAAAAGATTAAATAAAGGTAAACAAAGATAATGCACGCATACTGCATATACCATCATAAGCACAGACAAACTTTTCGCATATGTCACTTTCTACAAATTTTATTTCTGCCAGTTTTAAGTGTATTAAGAGTGTACTTATACATTCCTGTTTTGCAGCTATGATAAAAAGGGCTTTTCTATATCTCCATAACGTCTTCACCACCACCATGGGCTAACTACGTGGTGAACCAGAAATCGTGGAAAATTTCAAGAATGTGACATACACAATGGCATTTACCATAAGCGTGAATTATCTTTGTTTCCATTTAGTCTTTTTGTGATGTCCTGCCCTCCACCTCATCCATCCTATCCGACACTTTGCAAGATGTGAATAAACCACTTGTGGGTTCGCGCACCACCTGTCCTGTAGTCCCTTTCTCATCCTCATCTGCAGCGCAACACTAGATCATGAAGCAGTGAGGTGTATGCAAAAATTTTAAATTCTGCTTTTTGTTGTTTGCAATATGTTGGCTGCCACAGGTCGTTTCTACGGAGATGAGTGACACAGATGCTACATTTTCGTGATGAAATTAACATGTTCTTATTTTTAATACAGCACTTGTGTCATATTAGAGAGAGCGTGCTCACATATGGAACAAGGGACCTGAGCAATTAGTTACTGTAGGTACACAACAGTTTAAGTAAACACAGGGATTAAAATAGAGAGCAACTACCTCCCCCTGATGGTTGGTGCTTAATAAAGCATATGGCTTGTAATTGTTACCGTTGTCTTAACATTGAGCATTGTTCTGCCACTTGACAGAATGCACATACATGGCAAAGCTTATATTGGCTTTTACTACGAATTTGTGCAAGTTATGCTGAACAAGACATAAATCGGAAAAGGCTGAAGCAAGAAAAAAATAAAACACTAAGAAAGAGGAGGGCAAGAAAAGCACGGCCTTGGTGGGAATGCAGAGTGCTTGGAACATTGCAACGAGAGCACCGTATGGCACAACATGACTCCGCATCACCGAGTGAATCGCAATGCACAGCTGTGGACAGACTAAATGCAAAGCAGAAAAAATTACACAGTAGAATGCCTTCTGTGAACGATACGCTGAGGGCATAATCATGCACTGCTGCTTGTCCAGCTGCCAATGATAATATATGAGTCAGACTAAGCATACAAGCCGAGCCATACTGAATGCCCCACAGAAATGCGCGCAAGAAAAAGACACCACAAATCCTCGTCTCGTGTTCCTCACTCATCATGAACAAGCACCAATTCGCCTAACTGTCAGTACTCCCAACACAAGCTGGACTCCACACCTATTGGAGTGCGGCCATCACTGCTGGTGTCCTATGTACACAGCCCTGCTCTGTAATGCAATGCCACTGGGGTCGTATCAAACTAGTTCTCACATTTAACATGTCCACAACTGCACATATGCCCTCTACAATTATGAGTGTGTGAGTTTTTGCAGGCACAACTGACCTTGTCACTTTGGCATCTAATTCTTTGAAAGAAGGGCCCAAGCCAAATTCTGTCAGTATGTCCGCATTACTATGACAAGCAGACGAAAGCTACAGTACCATGAAATTTTACAATACCTCACGACATCACTTAAGTAATTCATTGTTAACATGCACAATCTTTCAGCATGCACTCATAACTTTAGGAACTTTTTACGAGTGTCTACTAATACAAGCTCTAAATATAAGCTATTCTAAATTAGATGTGGCAATAATCTTACAGGAACTTAAATTATAGACCAACCGAACTCGATTGCTAAATTATGTGAGCTGGCAACCAAATATTTTCCCTGTGCACTCCTTGGTTTTCATGTAAGAGAGACAATGAGATACAATTGACAGTTGAAGCCTTTGATGAAAAATTGATTCTCCCAGGTAAAAGGTGGGGGGACGAGAGACTCTAGAATGATTTCGACCACCTGGGGTCCTTTAATGTGCACCCAATCCAGTGCAATGATACATGCGCATTGCAACACATTCAATGCCGTGGAAATGCAACTGCTGTGGCCACCCTATATGAATGCTTTGCTAGGAGAGCAAGCACCTGCAGATGCAATTATATTTAAAAACCATTAAATTACTGGACACCACCTCACACCTCGTTGCAGACACGTCTAATGACATGATGTATCTATGTGGGTGCATCTCATTAGGCCTTCAGATAGCAAAACCACCAAATGGCCTCAGAAATAAGTGATGTTACATGCCAGCTTCGAGGAAGTGAAAACTCATAACACCTCCAAGAGACCAACAATAGCGAGAACACAGCAGGTTCGAGAATTAGCGCTGAAGCTAAAGTTTTTATCATGTGCCATGTGACGTTATTTTTCAGCATCAATAAACATTACGCATGTTAAACTCCCCATGCAGCACAAAGAAAACAAAAGCCAAATGACATACAAAGAATCCTCAGAGAAGTGCACAACGTTCTTGGGTGTGGAAAACACAACTGTGTGTTAACTTAGTCAATTTGGAAAATCTCTTTATCACCTTGATCTTCACATCCTGTTTTGTTTGCACTACAGAATAAATATTGCTCTCACTGTCAAAACATCTACACCTCCAGGCAAGTAGCTAAAGTTGAAGACTGGGCTTGTTAGTGGAGCGTGACAGCATATTGTAGAGCGCAACTGATTATCGGGACACAAGAAAGATGCACATACAACAAAGTGCTTCATTAAGTGCTTTGTTATGCATCTTTATTGTGTCATGTCGATCAGTTGCGCTATGCAATCTACAGGCAAGTGCACAAGACAGCCCCTGCAGCTCTCCTGCTCACACCCATGGCTTTCGGGAAATATTGATGCTAATATTTTCATTGCTGTAGGTGTGCCTGACACTGAAATTTAGAGCTTGTATTGGCATCTCAGCAGCAGGCTATAGCAAGGCAAAGTGGGCAGCCAGCTAGCAAGGCTGACTGCAAATGGAGTGAGGGGGAGGGTGATACTTACAAAGCAGAGTGCGAATGAGAGGCTGAGGACCTGAGCAACCCGAGAAACAAAAAACACGCACACATACACACAATGATGGGGTGAAAAAGCCCTATGAGCAAAAAACAAAAAGCAACAAAACACACAACAATGCACATTTAAGCTCAGTGATAACACTAACGCTGAGCCAGAATGGGTGTGCAAGTGTCTGGGCTACTTTTAGTAAGCTGCCACTTGCAACCTTGTCAATTTTCCAAGCTTGTGAAGTGCACTACCAGTCAGTAGTCACAGAAGACAGAGTGAGCAATTTATTGATGTGTTAGTTGCAGACAAATGCTAACTGCAGCCAAACCATAGTAATCCCGCAACTATAGTTGCACAAGGAAACTGAGCACCAGTTACTAAATTGACACACTTATGAAGTTCCAAATGATCTAGCCCCACAGCTAAGTCCAGGAACCTAGTCAAATTTTTTTTTCCAGTTTCAATAAAGAGGAAACAATGTTGGTTTTACAAGTATACAGCAAAGTATTTAACTCTGTGCTGTTTATTTTATTGATAATAATCCTCAGCACAAACTGAGCCTTTTATTGACTAGTAAATGTCGCCATATTCCACTGACTAAATACTGAATTTATCAGCAAGGTGGCAAGTTGGGCTAGTTGGATAACGTTCATGTTTGAAAATTTTTGTTGAAGCGCACTGAAGACAGACGGAAAATTTTCAATCATGAATTTATTACAATTGCTGAGTGTGCAAGTGCATGAACAAGTAAAATTAGTAAATGCTCAGGAGCCATGTATGCTATAATGTGTTCTCATGTACGGTCTCTTTCACACTTAGGGGAAACCTCGGTGCGCATTGCATTGTGATGCGACCAGCACTACAGACGCGTGCCATCAGCAGCTCGTGCAAGCTCAGACACTTGAGGGGCGTGCCATTGAACCGCATTGTCTGCGACAGCGGTGCGCGCTGGCCACGATGTCGGGCAGCCTGCTGATTTCATCACTGCTGTGGGAACTAGGCCGATATTCTGTACTAAACGTTGTGCGATGCCAACCTCTCAGCCTTCATTGGCAATAATGGGGTTCCAGAAACAGGGTTTCACAGCATATGCTGCATGCTTTTTCGAAACGCCATGGTATCGAGTGCATTCACGAATATTTTTTTCTTTGTGTGTGAACCACAGTATGCTGCAACGGGGAATACCATGATAAGCACATACCACGCGTGGCATTTATTTAATGTCAAAAAAGAAAACGAAGCACTCGACAGTAACTGCCGTGCAGCTATGTACGTTCAACACAATAAAACAAATGAGAACGAGTTTAGGAATGCTGTAGGTTGAAGAAACCAACTGAATGTGCTT